CCCCCCCCCCGACACACACACACACTTAGGGGACCTGCACACTCTCCTAACACACATTCCCACACACACTCCAGGGGATATATTTTGGGGAGCCTGCTAGCCCTCACTTCTTTCTTTGAGGATAGTTAGGACAGTGGCCCAGGTAGGTAGTTCTAGAACCCCATGTAAAGCGCAGTCACAGAGAAGAGAAAACCCAAGGTCCCCTTATAGGGTCGGGGGCGGTGGTGCTGGGGAGTAGGGTGGCCAGAGGGAGACGGTGAGAGGGATAGCCCACGAGGAGAGTGGCTGAGTCAGTGGTCCAGCTCTTCATTCTGGCTGCTTTTGCACAGCACCCTCTGGAGCTTGGCACGAAGAGGTTCCCAGTCTGTAAAGCCGGAAAATCTGCAAGGGGCTTGCTCTCAGAGCCCCGGCCAGCATCGCACACGTTCCCTGAGTCCCCAGCAGCCCGTACGGGGCCTGGCCCTGCTCAGGGTCCCCTCCCCACCTGGTTGTCCCACTGTCAGGAGCGGGGCCTGCCGCAGATCAGGGTCCTGCCGGAAGAAGGCTCTGGGCTCTGAACATGCTCACCTGGCCACGCCAGTGTCTCCTCCAGGGACACCCGAGGTAGGGGCTCCTCCAGATCAACACCAAACCACCTGCCTGCTTGCTTGCTTACTGTTTCTGTTTTGTTTTCGTTTTGCCAGGTGATCAGGCAGGGGTGGTGGTTTAGAAGCAGAAACAAACCCCCAAACCGCTCCTTAAAGTTCACAAAATAGCTAATTCGCCAAACCTTCGTTTTTTGTCCATTTATTTAGAAAACAATTAACATGGGCAAATGAGATACCTCAGTGTTACAACAGAGTATAGAAATGTCTAGCAATAGTCAAATAATTTGATCTTTAAATACAAAATAACCACATGAACACCTAATATACAGGTTTCATCTGAATACATATTTATTAGATAAATATTAGAGGTTGTCACATCATCTAACTACATACAGCTTTGCAAGACTAGAAATCACAATTAGGTTTCTGACCAGTTTAAAGTTTGAAATGGTTGCATTGTACAGAGATGTACAAAGACGATGACAATGTCTGTGGGGGTTACTTCAGGCTGCGCTGTGGGTGTGTTTATGTGTGGACATGTGAATCACCTGCAATCATGATATCAAAAATTATACAAAGTATGAATTTGGTTACAATTTTCGTCTGAAATCCCCATTTCTTTTCATTATTTCCATAGCACCCTAAAAATACACAGGTGGCAGGACCAGTACACCGGAAGCTAAATAGTACATGGAGGTAAAATAAAAAACAAAACAGAACAAAAATGCCTTTCCACACAGGGGCAGAGTATATTACATAAGACAAAGGTGGAGAGAGACCTCACAAACGCTAACAGGATCTAGTTTTTTTCACGTTAAGATGGAGTTTCAAGCCTTTTTTTTTTGTTTGTTTGTTTGTTTCGTTTTGTTCCGTAAAATAAAAACAATACACATTCCAAGGGAAATGAATGCATCTGTTAACGTGTCTCTATTTCTCATTTACATATGTACACACGTCCCTTGAGTCGCTGCTGCTGACGTCATCCTGTCTAGATGGTCAGGTCGAGGGAGCAGACGTGTAGCTCTCTGGGGTGGGGGTGTGTGGGGGGGTGGTGGTTAGGGCTTTCATTAGGGAGGAAGGATTAGAAGTGTCTTCAAAAATAAAATGGCTACAGGGAACATGATACACGGGTAAAGCTTCGAACCAAGGAGATGGGGTGATTGCCTGTACTGGGGCCTTCCCGCCTGCCCGCTGGCGCCCTGTCCGTCTTGTGGAGTGGCAGCAGAAACGTGTCTACGGCCTGGGTGGATGCTTGTCACAGAGAAGTGGCTTGCTGAGGCCTCGTTTTTGCTGAGGTTACTTATGGCTCCAAGTAGTCGTCCAAAAGGATGAGGGAAGCATCCCCCCCCCCCCGGAGTTCAGAAGCGCCCTTGCTTGGGGAGGCTGTCGTCACCCGAATCCGTCACCAACCGGGGCTCTCTCCAGCCCCGGGCACCTTTCTGCCTCCCTCACCCCCCTGGCCTGGCTCCAAAATCACTCCGGGAGAGGACATTCCCAGAGCACAGGCTTCAGGCACCACGGTTCGGGAAAGCTCTCTGTCCAACTTGCTGGTGGAGGTTCGCTTGGGAGGGGCCCCAGGAAACCTGCCTCGGGTGCCGAGCCCTGGCTTCCTCAGAGGTGGTTGAGGGAGGTGCCCAGAGCCCGGGCTGTGGGGAGCAGATCGACCCTCTGTACTAGAAAGCTGTGGGTAGGTTGGTGAGCAGAGCAGGGACACCCGATAAGAACCAGAATGGACCCCAGGCCTTTCTGGGAAAAAGTAGCCACAGCAGGAAGCAGGAACTTCTAAGGAAGGCATTTGTAAGTCTGTCTGGGGCAGAACATTCCCAGATGGCCGAACACAGGAGCGTGGCCACCTGCCAGGGCTATCGGCCACTGGGCAAGGACGGCCGCGTGCTACCTGGCATCGTCTCGTCCCCACCAGCTGACTGGGGATGGCTCTGAACAGTGGGCGGCCTGCTCGAACTCATGGCACAGCCACCCACGTACTTTGTCCCTTCATCTGTACAAATAGCCCTGGTTGCTTTTTTGTTTTTGTTTGTCGTTTTTTAAAAAAAAGGACTCGGTCTTGTTGTTGAGTCAAGGTCTTTTAAAAACACCAGCAAAGGCTATAACCAGGTCATGAAAATGTTGAATATTATCAAAGACAATACTAAAATATTCACAAAGATATTTACAAAAGCAATTCTCAAAATAATTGATTTGCATACTGAACACCACGCTGTTTGAAAAAACCTCGACAACGGGACAAAGGAAAAGGGGGCGGGGACAATGGCAGCTTTCCTACAGAAAACCTTGTGCCGGCTGTCTGGTACAGTGACTGGAAATCAACAGCTGGGGCCACCGTTCCGGTCAAATCCAGAGGAGTGCTGGGGACCACCCGCCACAGGGGGAGACGGAGCTCGAGAACACGGACAGTGGACGGGAAGCAGGAGACCCCAGGCAGCAGCAGGGAGGGGCGCAACGAATTCACAGACGTGACCCAAGTGACGGCCCAGCAGCATCACAGGCCATACGGCTTAGGGGGACAGAGGACCCCCAGACGAAACGGACGCCCCACAAGCTACCCGGGAGACTCCGAGAGCAGTAAGCCGGATGGAGCGAGGCAGTGGAGGGAAAGACCAGAGGCTGCTTCTGCTCCGGTGAGCAGGAGTGTGGGCAGCTTTGCAGGGCAGGGGGACACAGAGGGAAGGAGAGGCTGGCAGCCAAGTGCGGCACAGAGACACCACGTGACGCTGGCGGGCACATCCCGGCACGTGTGGTGACGGACTGGGGTGCAGCTGGGGCAGCCTTGAGCACAGGGACAGCCGGACGGGGCCGGAGAGCCTGCCATGCCCGCGACAGGCTTCGAGCTCTTCCCGCTTCCACTGCCCACCCGCTGTCGGGGTTTTGACACAGCAGAAGTGGGACAGAGGGAAGCGGGTGTCCCCCGTAACAGTCTGGGAGACGTGGGTGGGGGCAGGAGGGAGGAAACAGGACGCGTGGAGAGAAATGGGTTGGCTTGTCATTCAAGTCTAACTGTCTCTTCTCTGGGATGAGACTCCGTAGCTTAATTAATCGTCACTGGAAAACAGGAGAGATTGAGCAAGTTGTAAGTTGTCAGTTCATCGACTGGCTATATCCCTGCCCCCAACCAAGGGCACAGGCTGGGACTCTCTCCCTCTGCCCTCGGAGGTCAGCCCCTGACTGAGTCCAGAGTCATGGGGCCAGCTGCACTGTCCCTGCCCTGAGGAGGCCTGACCCCTTCCCACCGGGGTCCCAAGTTAGGAATGGCACACCTCTAACACAGAATCTTGTCCTTTTTTTTCTGCTTTCTGGAGAGAGAGTGTTTACAGGGTTATCTTGGCTTAGAGGTCAGGGGCCGCTTTACCCACCTTGGCCCCCCTGAGAGAGTTCTCTTCCTCCCAGAGGTTTGTGCTTCTGCGGTGGTGGTGGTGGCGGTGGTGGTGGTGGGTGGGCCATTCTCACTGCCAACCGTCATTCTCCAAGGCCTGGGCCTGCCTGCGGCCCTGCCTACCATGAGGCTCTGGGCCAGGTGCCAGGGAGGCAGGTTACAATGAGAAACCGGAAGAACCTCGGGGGGCACTGGAGGGTCGTTTGGAATCAGCACACACAGAGGGACCAGGAAGGCTTTGTCAGCTGCAGCCCTCGTCAAATGTTCCCACCCTCGAGGCTCATCTTCAGGGCCTGCTCTGGGCACGGGCACCAGACCCACACAGCCTTCACAGTGCACCCTCCCGCCCCTCCGCTCTGAGAAGGCCGCAGCAGGGGCGGTCTGAGGGCATGGGCTCCCAGTGGTAAAGTGTGTGTGGGACAGACGGGGAAGGAGGCAGAGTGGGGGGGGGGGATGGCCCCAGTGGAGGGGTGGGCTTCAGTTGTTCTCAAAGAGAGACAGGAGGTCATCGTTACTATTGCTCGGCAGGTCGGGGGGATCCAGGTACGAGAGGAGCTCATCGGGATTTGTGAGTTCTGGAAGGAGCTGGAAAAGAAGTACAGAAGCCCAGATGAGGTGTCAGCTGAGGGGCTGGGCTGGCCCAGGGTGAGGACTGCAGGGGTGCCCCCAAGGACTGCCGGGGTGCGTGCTTCTCTACCTGCTTCCCGGGGTCCTGGCGGGACAGGGGACACTAACCGTGCTGGCTGGCCTCAAACGCGCCCAGGCCACTGGGCTAGCCTGGGGCACACCCGCGCTTATTTCCAGTGTGGGGGAGACAGGCCCTCGGCCCGCCAGCCGGGAAGGCTCGTGGCAGGTCAGGGGGCTTTCTCTTGATTCCGGGCTTCCTCTGGCCCCAAGACCCTGCCAAGAGGAAGCCTGGGTCACGAAGGCCTCCCAGTAGAAACCACATGACTTTGCACGTAAGGCCGGCGGTCCCTGTAGCTCTCGGCACCCTGGACCTCCCCCCAGGAGCTCACTGCTCCCTGGTGAGCCTATGACCAGAGGGCGGCACGGAACCATCCTTCCCTGCGGCCCCTGGGCTGTGGCTGCAGACTCTCCCTACCCTCTACTGTGAGGTCCTCGGACTCCTTTTGTCACACCGGGGAACCTCATGAACCTAAGAGCACCCTCACTGGACAGGTCTGGGGAGGAGAGCTGGGGGAGAACCCTAGGTGGCCGCACAGCCAAGGAAACCCCATTCACCATAAAGACTGCCGCTGCCTGCCGGGGCAGAGGGCGACCACAGTGGGGCTGAGGCGTGGAGAGGGCAGAGCAGGTCTCCTCTCTGGGAATCTAGAGCCTAGGGGCGTGGGATGGGAGGGGCAAGTGCCACGTGTCCCTTCCCGGCCCACCCTAGCCGGCTACCCGGCCCCCATCACTCAAGGGTTCCTCCTACCCCGCTTTCCAGACCGGTCGGGCCTCAAGGTGAGAGACCCCTGAATCTCAGCCACCCACTTCTGCCCCAGTAGTCCTGGCACGACCCGAGGCTGGTCCTACTGTCACCCCTCACCGGGGCCTCTCTGAGTGAGCGATGGAGCAAAGCGGCAACACAGGGCGTGGACAACACACGGACAGGAAACTGGACACAGACACATACCAGCGAGACAGACAGAGGGACCCTGTCACTCCAGCCCTTCCCCTGCCTCAGGCCAGAGAGTGTGGCGAACACTGAGATGGCAAGCTTGATGTGGGGGTGGGGGCGGGGAGGGGGTCGGAAGGAAGAAGGGCAGGGGGCCTTCCTGTGCTTCCTCCAGGACCCTGGCCCAGAGGGACTCTGTGAGGGCCTGTGGGGGAAGGTGGGGTGGGGCAGGGAGGGGCTGCAGGACTGTGGCCGAGGGGACCGAAGGGCAGGTGCCGGCAAGGTGGGGAAGGGGGCGGGGGAGGGATGCTGGGACCCTTGGTGAGGCTTCCCCACTGTGGGATTTCCTGGTTCTGGAGCCAGGGGAGGCAGGCTGGCTAGGCCCACCCACCACCCACCCACCCCCTCATAGCTGCACCTCCTCCACCCTGGGCCTTGAGCCCTCGACACCCACCCCTGCTCTCGGGCAGGTCCCAGCGCCAGGCCTAGCCCCAGGCCGGTGGTGACCCCAACTTACATCCAGCGAAGGCTCCGGCATGTCGGATGCTCCCTGTGCTCCGGCCTGACCCTCTAAGGCTGAGGAGGGGTTAAAGGTCAGGTCGCTGTGTGGATGGTTGCTGGGAGCGGCCTGTGGCGGTTGCCGGGGAGGCTGGGAAGGAGGAGGAGGAGCCCCACTGTGATGTAATGGAGGCCCTGACTGGCTGCTGGGGTGTGGGACGTGCAAACCTTGTTGTATGGAGGGATGGGGCTGGTCAGAACTGCCAGCGTGTGGCATCTGTGGAGGAGGAGAGAGCAGGAGAAAAGAAATGTGAGGTGACGAGGTACAGCAACGAGATGCCTGGAGAAATGAAAACCAAACAAAACCAGGAAAATAACAAACCCCCAAAACAAAGCCACCCCCTTACAAAGCTCAATGCTTTTTGTTGTCGTTGTCGTTTTGCGGAGAAACAAACAAAAAAAGTCCTCCCCCGAGGCTGCCAGTCAGGGAGGCTGTGGAGAGGGAGGCGGGGCCGGGGCCTCTGAGGCTATGTGGGGGCCGGGAGGGAGGTGGCCCGGAGCTCTGGGACAAGCAGACACTGAGAGCATGGTCCAGGCCCCCCGCAAGCCCCTCTGCCTCTGTAGCCCGGACACCATCACCACAATGAACAGGAAGGGCAGAATGGAGAAGCAAATGGGCATGTTTCCAAGGAGTGGGGAGGCGGGGAGGGTGACGCTGGCAGCGTGGTACGGCACACCCCTTCCCCCCACCCCTGCTCGCTGCCCCCCGAGGGCCAGGGGCAGCGGAGAGCAGACACGGACAGACAGCATGGGCAGGCGTGCAGCTCAGGAAGGGGTCTGCGTCCCACAACGGGCCCTGGCCGGGGGGGAGGGGGGGCGATGCTGGACACAGAGGCACCTTCCAAGGGCCCGAGGTGGCAGCGGCTGGCCCCTTGGGACCAGCCCTGCCCGATGCCCAGGGTGGGGCAGAAGTGAGCCCCGAGTCAAAGGGGCAGAGCAGGGCTTCTCCGCATTGCCGGACCCTTCCTGTTGGCCACCCACCTAGGCAGCTGTAGGCCGCGTCCCCGGGTGCCGAGGAAGGCAGGCACCTCTGTGCCTTGCTGGGCGCTAGGGCTCACAGAGGAGGTGCCCCGGTGAGGCAGGAAGTGCTTCTCTAACAGATCCACTAGAGGCCCGTGCTCTCCTGTGTGCACGTGGACTGAAACACCAGGGCTGTGGCCGGGCAGGGGGCCTTATGGTGTATGACATCGAAACTTCCCTGCTGGTCTGGGTGCTATCCCAAGCAGCCTCCCTTCAGAGCTCAGATCTTGGAGCACAAGTCCACACTCTCAGCCCACAGCCAGTGCCCCAGCAGGTCCCCCAACCGCACTCACACGATGCTAGCCAAGGGGAGCCTGACCCGCCAGGCTGCCGGTGAGCAAACGTCTCCTTGGTCTTTTTATACCTTCCTACCCATCCCATCTTCCAGGCCATGCACACATTTCGTTTTTCCTTCGTGGGTTTCGAAACAGCAGCCTGATCTCCAGACCCTAGTACCTCTTCCTGTTTCTCCTAAAGCTGCTCCCAGGCCTTGCTGGGAGCCTCTGCTCAGTCCAGCCAGCCCCAGGCAGCACAGGGCCCCTTCCATCCCGGGACCGACTGTACGACTGTGGGACGGTGTCGGGGGGGGATGCACACGAGGCGGGAAGGACCAGGAGAGGCTGGAAGGATGGCCACCATGACTGTCAGTAAGAGGCCAGCTTGTGACTCCCACCCATGCCCGTGGGTGCCCCACAGTGCCCATTCTGGGGGGCAGGGAGTGGCTCCACACTCCTGGAGCAGCCCAGCCCAGCCCAGGCAGACAGTCTCTACATCTGCTGACAACGGCTGTCCCCCTCAGGCCCAGAGGGACGCTCTGAGACCTGCTGATACACCGGTCACCTCTCCTGCAAGGAAGAGTCCTTCAGTGACCCAGCACCTGACGGGAGCCTCTCTGCCAGTGTCCTCGCACGTGGGCATCCAGCTGGTGCTCAGCCAGGGCCAGGCTGCCCTGGCGCGGGGAAGTTTATCCGTGACTGTACTATCCCTCTTCGCAGCTGTACTTCTGGGTCGCCGTCTAGCGAAAGCCCAGAAATAGGGAAGGACGGTGCATATCTAGGGAGCACCCCTGGGCGGCGGGGGTGGTGGTGGGGGGGCAGGCTGTGAAGTCAACTCACAGGCTTAGGGCCCTCTGAAAAGACCCCAGGTGGCAGGGCTCAGAAAGTAAGCGACATCCTGCTGCCATTGTCCAGTGCTGGGACCTCTGTGTGTGACAGGTGAGCGTGTGTGGGGTGTGATCTGGGTGACTCCTGGGCATGGACTGCTGAGGAAACGGGGAGCTGGGAGAGAGGCCCCCAGAAGTCAGAAGCTCCACGAGGCAGAAAGGAACTTGAGAAAATGTGGCTGAAGCCCCGTGACAGCAGCTATGTCTGACTTGGCATTCTGGAGTTCCATAGGAAAGATGCTGCAGTGTCCCTCTCCCAGAAGCCTTCCGGTTAACAGCCACTCTTGCTGAGAATCGGGTGGCTCGGGACGGGACAGCTTCTGGCAGAGCCAACCCCGTGTGGATCACAGTGCGATCCCAAGGCCCTTCCTCCCAGGCCACATGGGGGAAGATGGGGGGCCTGCAGCCTGGCCTTCCGGTGCAGGCCCGCCCAACCCCACTGCCGGGCCCTCTGCGACTGCCCCTCCTCCTGAGGGGAGAGACCAGGGACAGACAGAACGACTGAGGCCTGACTTCAGCCCTCAGGCCCCGGTTTCCCCAAACACCCCAACCGTGCTGTCCCCATCCGAGCGCTGCCAGAACCTTCGCTCCGTGGGCACAAGGCCAGTGTCTGTCTTGCTCACACCGGGTACAAAACCTGGCCCAGAGCAAAGGCTCGGGAAATGTGTGCTAAGTCAAACAGAGCCACGCAGTACTCACTGGAAGAGGACCTGGGGTGGCCAGGCCTCTTACCACTGTTGGGTGTGTTAATAGGTGACACGGGACGGGGCGTGAATATTCTGAGGCTGAGCAGGCGGTGGCGATATGCAGAAGACTCAGACCCCTGGGGAGCAGGTGCCTAGGTGTGAGACAAAATTCTAGACAGCCGGGGCTACGGTAGGTCAGCATCTGAGTGTGCGTGTCAGGGAGAGAGGCTGGTGGCGGTGGTGTGTGTGGGGGTGTGGTGGGCATGTGTGGGAAGTGGGCGTGTGTACGTGCAGTGTGTGTGCAGACAGGAGCCTGCAGCTTCCCCCATCTGAGAATCCAACGTCCTAGGTGAAACCAACGTCCTTGGCCAAGTCCAGGGACACCGACTCAGTCTCGGTCAGGCCTCTCACTTCCTTCTGAGCCCCCAGACCCAATTGGCAGTCTTCCCCTTTGCCTGGGAGGGAGCTAGGCAAACATCAGAAAGGTCCTTGGGGGAAGCCCTCTGCTCCCAGCCGCCCCACGCGGAGGAGGGGGGTGAAGGGGGAGGTAGGGAGGTCAGGACGATGAAGAGGTACTCACAGTTTCCTGCATGGGGTGACTGAGGGGTTTCTCGAGGGCGGCCATGTTGTTGGGCATGTCCGGGGGGTGGGAGAGCTGGGGCGGCCCGTGCATGAAGTCGTTCATGGACGTCCCGCCAGGGTTTCCGTGGGGGAAGTCAAAGTTTCCATGGCCCTGGTAGTTGTTGCCTGGGGAGAAAACAAGATGGCACCGGGGCAGTGTCACCCAGAGGGAAGGCAGCCATGGGGTGGGGGGAGTGGGGGGACACGGAGTATGTAAGTTAAGATGTGACTCCTGTCCTGGCTCCTGTGGCCTTAGACGGAGCAGCAATACAGCCTCCTCTGGTGGGCCTCAGCACCCCAGGACCTGAGCTGTTTTACAGTTACGAGCAGGAACAGAGTGTGAGCAAGAGGTAGGCCAGGCTCCTGAGGGCAGGGGAAGATGATGCCCCAGTCTGAGCCTTCCTCAGGATCTGCTGCGCTAGACCCCAAGACCTGTTTCCTCACTGTCCCCCACATGGCTGCACGTAGGTCAGTGGGAAGACCGCAGCCCAGAGTGGGAGATTAGGATTTCAGGTCCACAAAGAGAGTTGCACCAGCCTCGAGGTGACACCATTGGAAGCCAGCTGTCTGGCCTCCCTGGCCCTTGCTCCCTCCCCAACATGGCCATGGAGAAGGATCAGAGGACCAGCATACTGGAAGGCTGTGGGATCCTGCTATGTGGGTTAACCTCTCCGGGCCTCTAATCATCCAGGAGCCTGGATCCTGCAGGGAGCTGCCATTGCCAGTGTTTAAGGGGGCTGGGTACTTTCTAGGAACCCAGGGCAGTACAGCATAGCTTGGTCTGGACAGCAGGGAGAGTGAGAGGGCAGGGATGGTGAATTTGGTGGCCAGAGACCCCTGGAACTCTGTGCCTGGAAGGATGGGAGCATTTCAGGGACCGTGACAATACAGATCTCACAGAGAAACACGGAAGGGCTGGGGGAAGGGCCAAGAACTCCAAGTGGGAGTGTTCTGTTAGTGCCCCCAGCAAAGCAGGTTCCAAAGAAGGCAAGGAGCTGTCCCCTGGACTCCAGGAGGCAGAGCCCACTTCTCAGCAGGGTGCTGACCCATAGGGCTGGACGGAACCAGGTGGCGAAGGAGACACGATGGCATTGAATGGGCCACCATACCCCCAAGTCCAGTGACATGGGTTGTGTTTTGGGGTGTATGTTGCCTCTACCTCTTCACACCACAATCCCCCTGCACCTGTCACGTGAGCCCAGAGACCCTGTACCCCTGCTGGGACTCCTCTCTCCCACCTCATCCAACGTCACCCACCTTGGTTGCTGTAATCGTTGGAGTTGGCGCCCCCCGGTGGAGGCGGGAGTGGGTAGGGGGATGGGCCAGGGCCCAGGGCTGCGATCATTTCCATGACGTTGGGCATGATCATCTGGCTGGGACTCATGGTCTTGAACCGCTTGGAGGGGATGCCATCTGGGTCATCTTTAATGTGCAGGTCTGACTTGATGGGGACTGGCCGCCAGCTGCACGTGGGGTCGATGGTGACCTCTTCAAACTCGGAGCTGGTGGGGAGCAAGGGGGCAGAGCTGAGGTCACGCGGTACCAGGCCTGGGATACAAGGGCTTCTAGCCCAGGCAGACACTGAACTGTCCCTGCCTAGGCCCCTGTCCCCATCCTTGCCATGCTCTGCCATATGACAGGGGTGTGAGGGATTTTTACATCTGTTTGAGAGACGGGGAGGGTGAGGTGAGGAAAAGCAAGTGGCTGGACACAGGACAGCTGGCCCCAAGGCCTCCCGCCCAGGAAGTGGCTGTCCGGGGCACTGTCTTGTTCTGGCTGAGCTTAGTCCTTTCTAGAAAGTTCATTCGCCCCCAGATAGAAAAGTTCCTGAGGTAGAGTCACAGAGGTGAGAGCTTGGGTTGGCGAATGGTCTGCAGCTGGGGACAGGGTGGGGTATCAGGAATGTCCCCATCTGGCCTCCTCCAATCCAGGTGGGCATTCCCCCGCCCTCTCCATGTGCCCCGAGCTGGGGGGGTACCCACTTACTGTTGGATGGCGTTCAGGATGCCCCACATGTACTGATCCACCTCCAGGCCCTCAAGCAGAGCCGTTTTACTAGAAAAAAAGAGAAGGGGGCTTAGCCTTTGCTCTTGGAGCCTAGGGACTAGCGCATAGCGCACCCCTCCCCACCATGTCAAAGACTCTGCTTCTGCCACGGGTTACTACTGGAGGCAGTGACAGGAGAGCACAGCCTTGTGACAACTTGACACAAGAAGACTGCATGCGGCCCCTGTGCGCTGAGCTCCTCTGCCGTGTCTGGGTTCTCTGTTTGGCTCCTAGGGCAGGAGGAGGTGCTAGACCCCAGACGGCAGGCCCAGATGGAGGCCAGTGAGGAAGGTCCCGCCGGGGTAGGTGTTACTCACTTGCACACAGGACACCGCCAGGTCCCTCTCTCACAATTCAGCTGCAGGTACGACTCCAGGTCAAAGCACTGCAGAGGCCGGGAGACAGACAGACAGACAGACAGATGAGAGGACGCGTAGGTGCAAGTGCCATGGTCTCTGGGACCCTTGTGAAGATCTCCCAGCAGGGAGGGAGCGGGGGGCGGGGAGACGGGGGCTGGGTTGTGGGGGCCGGCGATCATGAAGCCTTTCCCCTGCTCACATGGCTAGCCGGCCACGTTGAATCCCTGCATGGCTCACTTCTCACACCACCCTTGTGCCCCATGGCCCCTCGCCTGTGTCCTCTCAGAAGGCTTCCTGGCTCACCCAACAGCGTGTCTCCACAGACCCTGACCCATGACGGCCTGGCTTCCCCGTCAGCCCAGCCCCGGCTCCGAGAACACATCCAGTCGAGTTCATCAGTACGTGTTGATGCCCACAACGTTCTCCCCGAGGGAAGCTCCTGCCCCACCACGAAGCCCTCCAGACCTGCTGTGTGGAGGGAGGGGCCGAGGCTTCACCTGGCTTGGCCCCCCAGCCTCTGCAGGAATGGCCGCTCCCCCTCTTCTGGGACTTCTTCCTGAGCAGCCCCCACCCAGGGCATCCCACCCATCCAGGCTGCCCACATTTGCACAGTGCTCTATTAGAGCAACCCAGGCCACGACAGTCACTCATTCCACGGCCACTTCCTGAACACCTGCTTGGGGCCAGGCCCCAGGACACAGCAGTGATCAGGCAGAGGTGTCCCTGCCCTGGGGCTCCAGGCCAGCTGTGGCCATATGTGCAGGACTTGCAGCTGGCTTCTGACAACTGTCAGGACTGGGACTGTCCAAATCGGTTCTGGGGTCCCCTGGGAACCTAGCCCTGAGCATGCAGAGAAGATGCTCGCTCAAAGGATGGACGGAGGCCGGAGGGAGTGAATACAACCGGCTGCTGATGGCCGCCGAGTCCTCTGGGGACCAGAAACAGGCCCTGCTGCCAGCCCTCTCGCCCCCGCCTGCCCCTCACCATCCCAGCCAGACGCCAGCCATCCTGCTCCTGCTCGAGCTGCACCTGCCAGGACCACTCACCTGGACGTGCTTGCAGTCGTGACCTCGAGCAGGCAGCTGGATGCGCCGGAATGTGATGGGGCACTTCAGAGACACCTTGATGGCTGTCTGCTCCACGCCATCCTCTCCGTTGAGGGTCGTGTTGCCTGACGAGGCAGCCACGCTGCTGAAATTCCGCTTGACTGTGGGGCAGGAGGCACAGGTGGCTGAGGAGGACGGGGCCACCCTGCACATATCACACTCCCTCGTGTGGCTAAAACACACCCTGCTTCTCCACCGCCCCCCGGACACTGGGAGGTCCTGGGAATAACTAGCGCACCCAGGCCTGGTCACAGGGGAGCTCGGCCCGCCGGGTGCCCTGGGCCACCCAGCTCTCTGGGACGGCAGCCCCCACGTGCGACGTGTGGAACACGTGTGTCCCTGGAGCAGCCATGTCAGCTCCCCAGTCTCTGAGGAACAGACCCTGCCTTCACCAGCACGGGGGACTTTCTACGGCACTTACAGAAACACGGTCTGGCCCTTCCCACTGATTTTCTGGGTCAGTGGAGAGCCCTTCAGGCGCTCCCGTGCTCACTTCTACAAGGGTGGAGATGGGAACAGACAAGCGCCGGGCGGGGACGGAGGGCTCAGGAGGTGATGTGGAGAAGCAAGTCGAGCGGAGAGGCAGCGGTGCACTGCCCTGCATACTGCCCCTGAGTCATCACCTGGGTGCCTCCTCCAAAGGAGGGGACTCTGAGCCAAGACCCTGTCTCTAGTTTATACATGAGCTGTTGAGGTGGGGAGGCCGGTCCAGAATCCACCCCTGGGTGAAGATCCACTTTGTCCAGTTCCTAGAAGTGATCTTCTAGGTGATCACCTCCTCCAGGAAGCTTGCCTGGCCTGTCTACACCACGGTGTGTGGTTTTAATTTGCCTCACATCCTGTGCTGCGAGCCAGCGCTTCCATGTGAGGCAGGCCTCACAGCCCATGCTCATCTGATCACCCCCACGGCTCCAGAAGGAGGGACATGAGCTGGGGGGGCGGTGGGGACTGGTGCCAAGGAACGCTCGGGCCCCGGGGTGTGTGCATGGAGCCAAAGGCCGGTCCCGGTTCTCATTCCCTGCGCCCCCGCACTCACTTTTCGTGATACAGTGCTCCGCGGGCAGGAGGCGTTTCTTGAGGAGGCCTTGCAGCACGGAGCGCACGGAGGGCCGGTGGACCAGCTGCAGCACGAAGAGGTGGGACTGCCAAGGAAAAGCGTACTCAGTCCCCACCCCAAGGCCCCAAGGCCCCCACGGCTGGCCCCACTTGTGCCCAGAGGCCCCTGGAGGCCAAGCACAGGAAAGGGCCCATGATCCACAGTGATGCCACTCTAGAAGAGGGTCTCCTGAGGCCCAGGATGTGTCCTGGGACTTGTGAGCCTGGGGACCCGGGCAACGGTCACCACTTGGGGGACCGTTACCTGGGCTCTACGCTGACTCGGATGTTGAAAACCTCCTGGCATGAGTTATGGGACACCAGGCATGAGGACTGGAGTGGGCCTCACTTCCTAACCTTGCCTGGCACGGCTCCATATCATGTGTTCTCCACCTTTCCTGCCAGAAGGGGTCACCCCTGTCTTCACTCCTCCAGGAAGCCTTCCAGGACTGCACACCCCCACAAGCTCCTACAGGTTCCTCATTCTGACAGCATTCCCCATCCTGTGACTTCTGTCTCTCTGCTCATAAGGGCAGGATCAGTCATTTTCCTTCCCGTATGTCCCCCACCGAGGCCAGCAGAGCAGGACAGGCAGGCAATCTATTTCCCCACAGGTCCCTGGGCAAGCCCTGTGTGCCAGGCCCGGATCTCTGGGAGGACAGGAGTGTGGCTCAGATGTGGATCCAGAGCAGGTCACGGATCGGGGGGACACACACAGTTATTCCACAGCCCTGGGGCAACGTCTGTGAAGACGTGTTTCTGCAAGACCACTGCCGTGGCTGCGGGGATGAGGACAGAGACCCGCAGTCAAGGCTGCAGGCCAGAGGGGGACTCAGCCCCCCCACGCCAGCCCCACCCGCACACTCACGCAGCAGCAGGCCGTGACGGTGATCTGGATGGTGTTGCGGCCCGGCTGGCACACGTGCTTGAGGTGCAGGGGCTTGTGGGAGGTCTTGTTGTCCCCGCGCTCGATGGTGAGGGGCGTGGCGTTCACGCTGACCTGCACCGAGGCCGGCCAGTTGGTGTTCATCTGCCGGTCCTCGTGGTGGTAGCACTTGAACTGCAGCTCCAGGTCGGACCTGAGGGGGTGCGGTGAGGCTCAGCTGGCTCTGCCCGGGGCCTCGGTGACGCCTGGCCACCTCGCCACAGCCCGAGTCCCTCAGGGCCACGCGTCCTCCGCTGGCACCACCGCCTTCGCCTCCCCGGGCTCTCCTCTCCCACTTTGGATGCTCCCCCTGCCCACATCCCCAGTCCAAACCCACCGCCACAGCCCAGAGTCCCCTGCACTGTTCACTCCAGCCACACCCCACAGCTCTGCTGGTCTCCTCCTGACTGCTCCCCGTAGCCCCTCTATCCTGTGCCCCAAGGATGGAGACAGAGGAAAGAAACGGACAGACAGTAATGTGACAAGACCAGCTAGGGGACTGATTATGTCCAAACCAGACTCCAGTTGGGAGCAGCACCCAGGTCAGCCGGCTCAGTGTGGTCAAGGCATCGAGTGAGCTGTGCGTGCGCACGTATGTGCCCAGGGCAGACCCGTCTCGTGCCTTTTAGGTGCTCACTGGGCAGCTAAAGGTTGCAAGTGTGAGTCCTGCCTGAGGAGGAAGGGCCGAGGGTGGAGACACCAGTGGGTCCCGGCATTCAAGAGAACTGGGTCTGAGTCCCAGCTCTGCCGCTTGCTGTGAGAAGCCCTGCAAGCTAATCAGCTTCTCTGGTCTCACTGCCAATGGCACAAGCATTGCCCACTGACAAGATCCAGGTAGTGACGTCATGTGTGGAAGGCACAGAACACAGGGCCTGGCCTGGCCAGCCACCTCCAGACCTTGTACTCGAGTGTGTCTGGACGTCTGAGCAGCTGCCTGGCTCGGCGGCCAGCCCCTCGCAACCTGTCGGACTTGCTGGTTCCGCCCAAGCCAGCCCCATCCCTCTGTGTCCCCGCTCTAGCCACAGCAAACCATGTTCAAGTTCCTCTTGCCAACTCAGGGCCTCTGCGTTGAATACTGCCTTATTGGCCTTTGGGTCTGAGCTAGCCACCTTTTCCTCTGGGAGGTCGTCCCCGGTCAGTCTCTCAGGACCAGGGTGAGTGACAGCTCTTCCCTGCTCTTAGGCCACCATACCTGCCGAGGCCTGTGACATCCCCCAAACCTTGCAGAGAGCAGGGCCCAATCAATGATGCTGAACGGGTGAAGGTGGCAGGCAGATGCTGCTATGATCTGTTCACGGCAATGCCTGGGCTAGGGAGGTCACCACCGGGGGCTTCCTCCCCCTGGCTTGAGCCTGTGCCCCCCGCCATGACACTCACCTCCACATCAGGGTCTGGTGGACTGTGGGCCGCAGGTGAAAGACGTGGTTGCTGACAGCCAGGTTGTGCTCCAGGCGGAAGGGCTCCAGCACCACGCCGTCCCGCACGGGGAACGTGAGCCGCAGCTCGTCATTGTGGTTGGCTGGGTGGGGAAGGAGCTGGATGAGCCCCGCGCCTGTGGCCGCACGGGCACACAGAAACATGGGCTCCAGGGCTGTGGGTGGAGCTCGCCCGCCCATGCAACACGCACCCTTAACTGCACGCTCACGGGGCCACACAGGCGTGTGTGTAAACAGGGCCACAGAAGCTGGCCTCTTTGCCTGCGTGCACACCAGGGAGCCTGTTGCTTCTGTCAGTCCACCCGACCCTATCCTGACCACCCCTGAGTCCCGTGTCCCACTCACCCTGGCTCTACTTCCCCTCTTATGCCCACCTACTCCCCACTCTGGAAGCGCCAGGCTTCTCCGCCCAGCCCCTCTCCACAGCTGGGAGCCGCTTTTCCTTCCAGCCTCCAGCTGCTCAGGAAGGTGATGAGGACTGTTGGCAGCACAGCCCTACCCCAAATTTCCCTTCTGGGTGGGGCTTATCTGCTTTCAAGCCCTCCTGCCCTTGCCACACACCCAGCCCCCACAGGCAGTCCAACTTCCAAGCCCCCTGGCTCCTGGCCCACTGCAGGGCCCTGGATGGAGCTGGCTAGACAGAGGGAAGAGGTGGGGCTGGCCAGACAGAGGGAGGAGGTGGGGCTGGCCAGACAGAGGGAGGAGGTGGGGCACTCACCTGGGGGTGGTGGCAGAGCGCTCATATTTGGCTTGATGTCAGGCGGGAAGGGTGGTTTAACGTCTTGGCTGGGGGACAGGTACGGGGGGATGCTGCTCCCGGGGGTCATGGGGGGCGTGGGGTTCCCTGGAACAGGTGAGTGGGGGTAATTTGCCACAGGAACCGGCCTAGGAGGCTGGGGGGAAAGAGAAACCACACATAGGTTATGGGGTCACAGGGATAGGAGGGACTATGTCTGTGGACATACACCCCACCCACCCCACAGTCCTGGGACTATGGTTCCTGGTCCCTCAAGGGAAGAGAGCCCTCCCCCACCCCTCAGGACATACGTCTATCCTGGTCAGCACTAAGGCCTCTGTCTCAATTGGAAGACAGGTGGGCCTAGGAAGGGCCTTCCCACCCTTCACTTGGGTCACAGCACTGCAGTGCTAGGCAGGTGCAGGGTCCCCTGCCCACTTGACAAACAGGGACATAGACTCAGGGTAGGGGGGACTAGTCTAATGCAATCTCAGGAGGAGAGAAGAGCTGGGGTGAAGCCCAGGTCTCTGGTTGCCTACATAATGACTCTAGACCATACCCTCCAACCCCCCCAGCTCAGGGGGTCCCCAGATGGAGTTGGGCCTGTAGCATCCTGGGCAATTGGCACCCCAGGAGCCCCTCACCCTTCTGGCCCCAGTCCTTATGCATCCCTGGCCCACCTGCCTGGACCTGTGGATTCCGTCTGGGCATTACTGTGTCCCAGAGCTGACGACCCGGGAATGCACCCTGATCCATGGGCCCGGGGACGGCATGGCCCCTTAGACACACAGGTGCACGGGGCTTAGAGCTAGGATGAAAACTGGAACATACCCTATTGACGTTCCCCTGGCTGTAGTTACTGTAGCTGCTTCCCGAGAAGGTGTTGTTTTGTCCATTAAATTGCTCTGGCTGTTAAAACAAGATAAACAACGTGATGAACGTGGAAGGCAGAAAAGCTACCAGAAGCCTGCTTTCTTTCCTGATGTGAAAATTGGCCAGCGGTACCATACAGGGGATGCTGGTGAGGCCCATCCAGTGCTGGGGATGCTGGTGAGGCCCATCCAGTGCTGGGGTGCAGAGCGGGACAGGGGTGGAGCAGGTCACCCGCGGGGACAGCATTTCCTCTCTCTTTCCATAGCTAGTGATACAGCATGAGTTTACAAAAAAAAAACCCAGAAACACCTAGTGTGTTAAAGCTGGAGCAGCGAAGGTGGTCATGTAAGTCAGCATGAATTCTCGCCAAATATACGTAAAAGTGTTTCTAGAGCAGGCTTCACTCCTGAGATGTACTTTACAATAATCCCAAAGAAGGAAAAAGCGAGGGACATTTGGGTGGCTCAGTCGGTTAAGCGTCCGGCTCTTGATTTTGGCTCATGTCATGACCTCACAGTTCCTGAGTTCAAGCCCCCGTTTGGGCTCTAAGCTGATAGCGTGGAGCCTGCTTGGGATTCTCTGGCTCCTTCTCTCTGTGCCCTGCTTCTGTTCCCTCCCTCTTTCTCAAAATAAATAAACATTAAAAAAAAAAAAAAAAAGAGGGAGGAAAAAGCTATGTACCTGAAAATACCTGTGATACTGTTACTTCCAAAGTGAAAAATCAGAAACAACCCAAATATCCAATAAAAAGTGAATAAAATAGGGTGTGGTTATGTATCCGCAGAATGTTAAACATCCTTAAAAGAATAAAAACCATGGAGACTTTGTAGCAGTAAGTGACACGCTTGTGATTTCACGTCAAGTGAAAGAAACAGATTCAAAATTATAGCCTTAGTAAGTCTCAGAACAGGCTGATGCCCATGTGCGTGTAGCGAAACAAGGTTTAGAACTAATATTAATATATCTAGGAGGACGCTTTTTCCTTTAAAAAAAATGTATTTTTTTAAATTATTATCCCGTGTGCTGTAAATAGTGAAAGGAGAGGACAAAACCCTTGTCTGAGCCCGTGAGAACAGGAACGGACATTTTGGTCGCTGCACACATGGCTCTGAGGACAAGATGACACATCCTGGAAGTCTCTGCCTGCCCCCTGGTGCCTCAGGGGAACACAGAGCCAAGAGGACACGGGTGGGGGTGGGGATGGGAGGTGGGGAGGGAGGAAGGGGCCTGTGGGGTGGTAGAACTCACCTTGTAATACTGCCCCATGTTGACCGTGGGGGGTGGGTACTGCCCCGTGCTCGGCTGGCTGGGCATCCTTTGCCCGGGGTAGTTGGGAGAGGTGAGCGGCCGTGGGGGGTTGGGGGTAGGGTACTGGCCTGGCTGGGTGGGGAACTGGCTGTTTGGTCCATATTGCTGGTTTCCATAGTTGGGCTGTGGCGGCAAAGGAGAGGAGAAGGTGTGTCAGTGTCGTGGGGCCAAGCTACTCACCAGACGGCCACCTCACCTCTGTCCTTGCTGTTTTCCACTGGCAAACTGCCCCCTCCCCCACCCGGAGAGAGGAGGCTGAACCAGATGATGTCTGAGGCCCTTGCTGCTCTGAGACACTAGGTTCTGGCTGTGCGGCTGGAGGCCCCCTCACCGTGAAGATGTCTTCTCCAAGTACCCTGCTCCCCGAACCGAGGGCACTTTCAGAGCCTCTCATTCCTGCCATCGTGAGGGGGCCCTATTCCAAAGCCCCCTTTGTGCCTCTCCTAGTACTTGGTACGTGACGGGGGAAGGCAGACAACAGGATGTGCTTCCAGAGAGGGGACTCCCTCGACCCTGCAATCTGAGGCTGAATCTGGGAGGCACCGTCCCCAGAGCCCGCACTGAAGAGAACGCACAGCCACTCCGTTCTGGGCCATGTTGCAGGGGTGGGGAGAAGCCGCCTTGTGGAGTTCCAGACAACCCTTCTCAAGACAGGCAACTGAGAGAGAAGACAGCTCCAGGGAGGGGCAGGACCACTGTCCTCGGAGATCTACAACGTGACACATGACACGCTGATGTCCACCTCGTAGCTGCCTTCCCCCTCTGTAAGATTAAGTGACCCTCAGGGGCCACCTGCCGCCCAGACACTCCAGGCCATCACGTCCTGTGGAGTCGCTGGTTCCCTCTCCCTTGTCTTTTGAAGCTCCTGGTTTAGTAACTGTCTCTCTTGCCTCCAGGCTCAGAGGTCCCAGCTGTGTCCCGGAATCTGGTAGACAGTGGACCCTCCATAAATCCTCGCTCAACAAGTGAAAGCAGAATCTGAAGGTAAGCGGTGGAGGAGGGAGGTGTCCACGCCAGTGTCAGAGAATCTGCCACTCACACTGCTGGGACACGGTGGCTGCTCTGCATGACAGTGGGGTTCCCGTCACGTCACCGGAGGAGGAACGCAGGTGGGGGCTGGGGCCTTCCCACCAGACTGCAGAGGAGGAGTCCTGTGTGGCACGGGGCAGTCTGGCACCTGCCCCTGGCCCAACGTGCCAACAGCTCAAAGGTTCTAGAAGCATGCCGCTGCGAGGGAAGGCCTGCCTTCCCAGGCAGCGTCAGGCCACGTGACTACCCGGCGTCACAGCCTGGAGCCAGGCTTTTTGTAGCCGGGGAGCATCAGCATTCTATGAAGAGGATGATTTAGTAAACATAAATGAAGGCCTCTGGCGGGCCCTGGGCAGCGCAGCACAGGGCAGGCACAGACGGATGTCAGAGCAACGACTGGGAATTCCTTTCCCGATCTCCCTTCCTGCCATCACCTCCTTGGGGGCCTGCAGCCCTGAGTCTGGGTCTGCACATGCATCTCTAGCCCGGCCAGCAGGGACGCTGGGAGTGTGAGCACAGAAGGGGCGAGAGAGGGCCCAGAGCTCAGTCGGGGGCTGTATGTGGGAGACGGAGGCCAGCGGCTTGAGACCCCAGCACAAGGACAGCCAGGGCCTTGACAGCCACGGTCCTTCTCTGGCTGGTACCTCCCTGCACCCGTGCCCACCCAGGAGTGTCTGGGTGTTTGAGGAGGTCCCTGACCTCTCCCTTAACTGGATTCAGGACGCCTCCAACAATGGCCAAGCCCGAGCCAGGGTGAATACTGAGGGAATCACAGAGACCTTCGAGGAACTTAAGGTTAGACTCTAAACCCACTTGCAAGCCCGAGCTGAAGGCCACAGTTCTGAGACAAGTAGGGGGAAGCAGTTCTGAGAACAGGCAGCAAGCAGACAGCTGCCAGAAAATTGCTCAGCAGGGAGCCTCGCCTAGGTAAGGAATCGAGGCAGGCTCCCTGAGGAGCGTGGGCGCTGGGCTAGGATTCTAGGGGCCCTGTGTCTTTTGCTCCTGAGCTAAATCCTTACCCAGATAGGCCACTTGCTGCCAACTTGTTTTCCCGTTGCTCACGGAAGGCCCTATGACACCCCCTCCAGGAAGTCCTCCTTCTCTGACCTCAAGCTGAATTCCATACACCCCACCGTGCATCACTGCCTTATGGGTTCTTGCTTAGACCTTCTCTTTCCTGCTGAGGTCTCGGTTCCCAGAGGACAGGTGTGGGTTTTACTTCCCTAAATCTTCACCGCCCCCTTGGCCGAGCTGGCTGGGCAGCCAATTAGGCAATGTTCCTCCCGAAAGAGCAGCTGACAGTTGATGGAGAAGAGCCCTAAGAAGCACACTGTCTGCCTTCCAATCACTTCTCCGACGTGCACAGGCATTAGATATGTACAGGGTTTTGTCTCCTCTCTCGCTCTTGGAAGTGAGAAGCCCTCATGCGGATGTGAGGAATGTGGACTCTAGGAGGTTTCGCTCCTTACTCAAGTCACCCAGTAGCCAGTCGGCAGCTGCAGCTGTCCGTGCCTGCCCGGGGCCAAGAGCCCTGGGTACAGCCCCTCATTCAAATCTTCCAAGCAGCCCCAGGAGGTGGGCTGGACCGTCACCATCTTTTATAGGTGAAAAACCAAGACTCAAGAAGGGACACGGCTTGATCAAGGACTTCCAGCTGGGAAATGGCAGAGCTGGTCTTAAACCCTGGAGCCCGAATCCTCAGTCCTTAGGCTTGGCCTTTTGGTCCAGATTTTGTCCAGGTCAGTTCGTACCCTTTCCAAAGTACTGCCCACAGTCCCTGTGTTTTCAAGCCCCAGGTTTCCCCCCTACCCCTCCCCACCCCCAGCTCCCACCATGAACGCCACCTGCCTGCTGTCACACTCACCTCTCCCGGGTATGGCCTCTTTATGCTTTGAATAGGCAGGGACTGGGGCCGGGGCCCCGGGTAGGTCTGCTGGGGCATCCGCTGCCCATGGGTGCCAAAGGGGCTGATGCCGGGCGGCCGGGGCTGGTTCATCCCCATGGGAGGGCCGCTCATCCCCGAGGGTGTCATGCCAGCCGCCATGCTTGCGGGGTTCATGCTGCCCCCCATGGAGGCAGGCCCCCGCGGCCCGGGCTGGTTCATGAATTGGCTGTTATACGCCTGGGTGGGACCCATCTGGAAAGAGGAACAGACCTTCAACGGGAGAAGAAGAAAAAAAAAAAGAATAAAATGCCAC